CCCCCCCCTTCCCCTCCACACTCACTCCTCCCCTCCCTTTTAGAGCCGTCATAAAGCCGAGTCACGCGGATTAAGAGAAAGAAAAAATTGAAATTATTCAACACAAAGACTGGACCGGTCAGCCAGTCGTAGATAGCTTCAGTCTTGAGTCTGGACAGCGCAGAGCGCACATCGCTAGACTTGTTGCCAGTAGCTAAGTTTTGAGCGTTTTGAACTTCTGGTGTTGTGAAACATCGTTGAGGGATTTCGGAAGGACTTGCAAGTTCCTGATTTCTTCGCACGACGTCAAAACGACAAGCACCTCGCCTGTGTGTATCCGTGCCAGAGCTGAGTCTTCCCCACGTGTTCGACGCCGTTTGTCCCAGTCTTGGGTCAAGTCTACGTCTCTCACCATGTTGCCGGGATCTGGATCTTCACCAGTCATGGAGTCTTTGGCGTTTAGTCCGAGGCAGCTCGAGGGCCCAGTGGTACAGTCCAAGGACTTTGGCAGTAGCAGGGACAGTGTGTCCAGTTCATCAAACGCAGAGAGACGTTGTGAAGAGAGTGTGTTCTGTCCATCAAACACAGAGAGACGTTATGAAGAGAGCGTGTTATGTCCTTCAAACTCGGACACAAGCTGTAATGTCAGTGTACTTAACACAACAAACACGGACATAGCCGGTAATGGCCCGGCGCTGCCTACAAAAAAGACAGACAAGGATAATACTATAACGTGCACAGATCCTGTACCTTCCTATTCCAGAAAACGTCCTCAAAATCACGGAGATAGTGAGCAACGCATCCCGTCTGAGGCCTGTACTGGCCCTGTGTTCCCTGCTCCCAACACAGAGGTAGCTTCGTGTGACGTCATTCCTACTACTACAACCATAAACAACACAGAGGTAGTCTCGTGTGACGTCATTCCTACTAGTACAACCACGAACAACACAGAGGTAGCCTCGTGTGACGTCATTCCTACTACTACAACCATGAACAACACAGAGGTAGCCTCGTGTGACGTCATTCCTACTAGTACAACCACGAACAACACAAAGGTAGCCTCGAGTGACGTCATTCCAACTACTACACCCACGAACAACACAGAGGTAGTCTCGTGTGACGTCATTCCTACTACTACAACCACGAACAACACAGAGGTAGCCTCGTGTGACGTCATTCCTACTAGTACAACCACGAACAACACAAAGGTAGCCTCGAGTGACGTCATTCCAACTACTACACCCACGAACAACACAGAGGTAGCCTCGTGTGACGTCATTCCTACTACTACAACCACGAACAACACAGAGGTAGCCTCGTGTGACGTCATTCCTACTACTACAACCATGAACAACACAGATGTAGCCTCGTGTGACGTCATTCCTACTACTACACCCACGAACAACTCGGGCGGCGACTGTGCAAGAACTAAAGTTTTCTCTATCGATCCGACAAAACGAATGCTACGACAAAGCAAGCAACAAAAGAAGGATGAGGATGAGATTTTCTCTCCGTTGTTCGAGCCTACGGGAGAAAAGCTGGGCCGTGGGAGCTTTGGCTCTGTCTCCACATACAGAAACAAGGAAACAGGGAAGGAATTCGCCGTCAAAGTCATCAGGAACTGTTGGGATAAAAATAGAGTAATAAATCGTAGAGTAGTAAATGAGATCAAGACCTGTCAACGCTACAAGAACTCGGAAAACATCCTGACTTTCGTGGAGTTCTATTGGATAGGAGATACGTTTTTCCTGATGTTCGAGAAAATGGCAGGAGGAGATCTAAGAGCTCTGTTGACGTCAACTCCGTATCTG